AGTCAAAATCAGCAAGACATTGCAGGCTTACCCTCCCGGGGAGCGAGGACCTCCGAGCTAAGGGTGTAAATGAGCAGATCGTCGAGGGAGCAATCCCTTTTGAGCTGCTTCGTAGCGTGATACTACAGACTTTGCCGTCTTGAGAAGTTCTTTCCTGGTGAACCACCGGTCCTCGGTGTGAGGTTGGAAACAAAACTTCACAAGATACTGCCGGTCGGGGCCAGTGCCCCGCTCATCCTCAATGGACTCCACATCATATCCCTTCCTAGGGATTGGTGGACCAAACTGAGGAGGCCGGTCAGGGAATGCATCAGCTGGAGTGAAAGGAAACAGCTTGGATGCATGAAAGACCGGATAGGTCTGTAGATGCAGTGGGACTCCGATAATGTACGACGGGCCGAAAGGATCGGAGCCCACTGTATCTAATACCTGCCATGGACCCAGGTAACGTGGCAACAGCTTGGGGGAGATGTCCTCCTCCCTCGACAACTCAGAACTGGCTACCCAGACATAGTCACCAGTGCGATGGGGGAAGGCTGCCTATGGCGATTCGCTTGTTCAATCATCGCCTTTTGGGCTTTGAACAAGTTCGCCCGTGCTCTTTCCACACATATGTGGTAGCGTCTGGCAAACTATGCGGTGCCTGGTATCACAAGACTTAGCCTTATCGATGATATCATCGAGAGGTTGTCGTGGTTCACGTCCCCAGTGCAACCGGTATGGACCGAACCTAGTCGAGGAGTGGACAAACATGTTATAAACAAGTTGTGCTCGAGCCAAGTGGAGATCCCACTCCTGCTGATCCGGAGAGATGACAGGACGCAGCAATTGGAATAAGACTTGGTTCATCACTTCAGCCTGACTATTGGCTTCAGGATGATGATCATAAGTCATGTCCAATCGTGAGTGCAAGTAGTCCTTGCAGTAGGACTGCCACTCAATGCTGCAAAATCGGGGGTCTCTATCACTGACTATAGAAATGGGCGGTCCATGGTGAGTGACCCACCTCTCTGAGAAGGCTGCTCTCACAGTCGGGACCCTAGCTACCTCTGGCAAGGGGATGAACTCTACGTATTTGGAGAACCTGTCCACGTAGACCATAACCTGACGCATGCCACGAGGGGTGGTCTTGCCTAAATCTGTGAAATCAATCGACACAAATTCAGCAGGGCCATCAGGTGTGGGTAAAGGTTTGAGTAGTCCCAGAGGAGGTCTACGCTGGACTTTATTCCTCTGGCAAAGCTCACAGGTTTCCACATATCGCAGCATATCACTCCGCATCTCCTTCCAGAAGAAGCACTGCGACAGGGCTGCATTGGACTTTAAGAACCCAAAATGTCCACGTGCATCATGACACTCTGACATCAGCAGTGTCCTGAACCGCTGATCCTGGGGAATGCACAAGTGTTCCTCACCTCTGCTGTAGGTATACAGCAAGTCTGAACTCGGGGCATAGCCGGGTTCAGAATTGGGATCCGCTTGCAGATTCCTGACTATGGGTCCATAAGTCGGGTCCTGAGGCAGAAGACGAGCAATGGTCTGACGGGTCTCCTCTCCAAAGGAGTGAGTCGAGGAGATCAGTGCAAAAGGGTCAGGCCTACGAGAGAGGGCATCTGCTACCTTATTGTAGCAGCCCTTCTTCTGCTTCGGTTCAAAGTCAAACATGTCGATGAACTGAATGTAACGTGCCAACTTGTCATTTAACTCTCCCTGGGACTTCATCCACTGTAAGGTGGAGTGATCAGAGAAGATCTTGAAGTGCCTTCCCAGGAGAAAGTGCTTCCAATGTTTCAAGGCACAGACAAGAGCATATAGCTCTTTCTCGTAGGCCATAGACCATTCCCATCATCCTGCTGAAGAATTGCCCCAATGCCATACTGACTGGCGTCAGTGGTCAGGATAAATGGCAAAGTGGGGTCAGGCAACTTCAACACTGGTGCACGAGTCAAGGCCTTCTTGAGTCGTGTGAAGGCCAACTGACAGGGAAGGGACCAAAGAAAAGGAGTGTCTTTCTTTGTTAGGTTGGTAAGGGGTGCAGCCACTGCAGAAAAGTTCCTGACAAACTTTCTGTAGTATGAGGCTAAACCCATGAAGGACCTGACATCCCTCACTGTCTGTGGCTGTGGCCACTCCTGAATAGCAGCTATATTGGCTGCTTCAGGAGCCAGGCCATCCCCAGAGATTACGTGACCCAAATAGATGACAGAGGGAACTCCAAAGGAGGAATTCTCTCTGTTAATCTTATACTGGCTATCGCGTAACGACTCAAGAACTAGAGCCAAGTGCTCCGCATGTTCCCTGGCAGTCCGACTGAATACCAGGATGTCATCCAGGTAGACAACCATGAACTTGTCCAGGTAAGGCCTGAAGATGCGGTGCATCTCAGTCTGGAAGGTCCCTGGGGCATTGCAAAGTCCAAATGGCATGACCAAAAACTCGTAAGTCCCATATCTGGTCTTGAAGGCTGTCTTGTAGACATCCTCCTCTGCCATCTCAATCTGGTGGTAACCAGATTCGAGGTCGACTTTGCTGAACATTGTGCAGCCCTGCACCATATCCAGAAGGTCATCGATCCTAGGAAGAGGCTCTAGACTTTTCCTAGTGATCTTGTTGAGACCTTTGTAGTCAATACACATCCTGAATTTTCCATTCCCTTTCGGGACGAAGAGCACTGGTGCGCCAAATTCAGATGTGCTCGGCCGTATCCAGCTCTTGCTGGTCAGGGTCTTCTGAGCTCCTCAAGCTCAGCAGGGGACATCCTGTAGATGCGGCCCTTTGGAGGGACCGCTCCAGGTAGCAGCTCGATGCGATGCTTAGTTGGCCGGTTGGGTAACCCAAAGGGCTCCTGCATCAAATTTGCATACTGGTCCACAACTTGCTGTATCTCAGGAGGACAGGAAACAAGTGGAGCGTCTGTCTGCTTGACCAGAGCCAGAAACAGGCGCTCATGGTCATACTGGCGCGAGAGAGAATAGAACTCCCTCACTCTCAAACAATAGCAGTTAGTTTTAGGGTGGTGTTCAACAACAATTCTGCAAGTCTGATACACCCCCTGTTCATTGGGGAGCTCAACCTTAGGGATCTGCCAATCGATCCTAGGGTTGACTGCTCGTAGCCACTACATCGAGAACACCAGATCAAAGGGTAAGTCAGGGAATATATAGAAGTTCAGACTATGTCTGACTTCCCCAGCACTGTCGAAGGTAACAGGGATACCCCTGACCTTCTCCCTAATAATGAGAACAGTGTACTCACCTATTCTGACCAGCAATGGTTGCTGCAACTGCTGAACTTTCATGCCCAGGTGCAGTTTCTTGAAAGCACTGGGAGATATGAAGTTCCGGGTGGCTCCACAATCCAACAGCCCCTTGAATCCTTGATACTGATGTTGTTGATCAGGGGCCAAAGTAGGATGAGATCAGACTTGCTTTTCTTTTGTTCCTTCAGATGAAGGAAGAAAGCAGCAAGTGACTGAAGCTCATCCTGCCCCGGGTCCTGATCCGGGTCAGGATCCTCATAGCAGAAGGATGCTGCCCGTGCAGTCCCCAAACTCATAGACTCTGTCTCAACTGAAGCAGCTGCAGATTCACCTACCTCAGCAAATGGAGGTGCAGCACTGGGGGGAACTGCAGTCCCCAGGGTCTGCTTCAGTTTTTTGACTGACTTGGGCCTGGCATGAAAGGGCAGTCCTTTAAAAAGTGTTGTCCCTCACATCTCAGGCAAACCCCTCTTTCCTTTCTTCTTCTCCACACTCCCTCCTGGATCTTGAGGTCATGCCAGGGGAGGGTGGAGGTTCGGACATCTCTTGGCAGATTCGGGCGCTGGGCAGAGGTAGAAGGACGGCGTCCTTATCCTTCCCCTTAGAACTGGCTGAGGCTGTGGTGGGGGAAAATTTCTTCTGCTGCTGCAGAACTCCCAAAACAGCCTGAGTCGGGGCCGCTGCAACATCAGCATCAGCAGCTGGTGCAGTACCGGCTGATGGTGTATCAAGTTGGGAATCTGAATTAGAGGCTGATGCAGACTCTGCATGTGCAAAGGCCGCTTTTCCCTTTCTACCACCACGAGGGAAAGCTCCTTTCCTCCTGTCAGATGAGGGGGCCTGGACATGAAGTTTTGCCTCCATGTCCAGGGCTGCACGACCAAAGGATCTCCAATCCTTACGCCCAACAAAAACTTGTCAGGCAAAAGTTGGTTGGTAAGTCATCCACAGACATCACCAACCCAGGGGTGAAAGTTAGCTGCTCGAACTCTGCAAGTAACGCTGCTGTCCTAGGCGGTCAATCTTGTCAGCAACTTTGCGGGCCCGCTCCTTGTCTGCAAAGCGTTCTTCCAAGGCCTGCAGAAGGTTGTCCACCCCCAATCCCAAAGCCCAGTCCTCCATAGATTTCTGCAGACTGCTGGAGGTAGAGGTAGCCCACTTTTGAGCAGGCCCCTCCAACAGTCCCAGAACCGTAGCCACTTTTGTCTGTTCTGGGCATATGAAGCCCCTCAAGTAAGCCCTGGTCCATGCAGCCCAGTCCCCAACATCAGTCTTGTGGTCATCTCCTCTGAACTTGTTCGGGGCAGGGATCTTGGGACCTCTCTGATCCCCTGCAACAACAACTGCAAAAGTGGGTTTGGCTGTCGCCTTTTGGGAGGAAGGTGGTGAGGGGGAAGAATGACGTGAACTGGGAGTAGAGGATGGAGAGGAAGGAGGAGGTTTGGGTTTGAGTACAGGGGACTGAGGAACGATCAACTTGGCTGCTGTCAGCTGAGCAGTTAAGGACTGAATTGCATCCAGTATCCTTGACTGCTGAGCTGCCAGATCGTCAACCCGACGCTCTAAGCGGTCCAGGCGATCATCCCAATTAGTGAAATAAGAACTAGTGGCTTTGTGTTCCAAAATGGCCCACTCCGCCAGGTTCTTATTCACCTGGGAACAACGATCATCTGTCAGGAACTTGGCTAGCTGCTCCAACACGTACTCCCTGCGAGAAGTATCTATTGCAGCCTCTAGCTCAGTCGCCTCCTGTCTCTCAAGCTCTGCTAGCAGCGCCTGCTGCTGCTGCAGCCTATCCTGCAATTCCTTCTTTTTCTGTTGAGTAGCAGTCAGAGGTGCAGTAGGGGTGGAGGTAGAAGGGTGTTGACCTTCTACCTTCATCACTACTTCCACCTGTGAATGCTGCTGAGCCTCCCCATTCGCCTCTTCAGGAAACTCACAAAACAGACAGACAGCAAAGATTATGTAGCGATATACAGATTCCTACAGACACTTAGAAATTGTTGCTTTCTCATACACATAAGTCAGGTGGGTGAACAAGCAACAAGCGGTTTGGGTTGGAACAGTCTCTCTGGGGTCAGAGGTCAGACAGACAGTTAGTCCAGTAAAATCAATCACACGATTTCCTTTTATTGACCCTGCACCACACTGGAGTTAGCATACACCACTTCAGTAATTCCAAAGATACCCTAGATTTCCAGAGCCCACTAAAAAACAAGAGTAGTCAGTGAGAATGAAAGAAGATGGCAAGTACAGACAAGAATGATCAAACCAACACAGCGATTCAATCGAGGACCCTACATTCTAGTCCAGACTCCCATTTCGGCCCTGGTGACTCTGACAGCCATACCCTAGGGTATGGCGAAGTATAGTATTCACTGTATCTAGTGAAATACTAGAAATCCAATTAAGCGCTTTTGCACTACTGACAATTTTTGAATTGCGATTGACTGACAACTGACATAATTGAATTCTGACGGACAGAATTGGAGTTGTGACTGACCCTAGTTAGCACAGGCTATAATTAGACTCGGAGCAAAACTACAATTCACAATATCTCTACTATTCCAATACAGAACTCACAGTCTGAGCATCTAACATCAAGCGCAATACAGTCAGGCAGTCACAGAACAACTTTGGATGGAAAAAAGTCAACAGAAGGTGAGAAACGAGCAGAAGGAGGTAGGAGAGAGATGGCTCTGGCTGTCCTGCAGTCTGCGATTTTCAATTCCAGTCACTGACAGACAGATAGACCATCAATACTAATTAATCTAACCCTATCTGAATCGCTATACAGGGATGTGCATGGAACGGACTCACTTTCAGAGTTTCTTGCAGAGCTTGGTGAAGATCTAGCTATGGCAGACCGAAACTTGCATCTCGCCAATTTCTTCCAGAAATTCCTCCTCTGTCTTCCACGCACAGAATCTCTTCAAACTTCTTGATCGTGTTCAGGATCCTGGAGCGCTGCAACCTCTCTAGTCAGATTCAGTGAATCTGGCCCAGTGGCGCCCAGAGTGCCAACAAGAAATTATCTCGCCACAGGACCCCACAACCGCTGATGCTATAAATAGCCTCAGATGAGGTTAATTTCACCTGCGATTGACACAGACTGTCAATCTCCCTCAACGCTGCTCAGGGTTGAAGCCGCTTAGAGGATTCTGAAGTCCTCAAGGGCAATTCGCCACTCTGAGGCAACTTGCAATACTGCCCTCAGGGTTGGCTATGGCGAATTAGCCTTGTTCTCGCCACTTCCTTGCAAGCGCCCTGACAAGCTCAGTGCGCTTGTTCAGTACAACCATTGAACTCCTCAATTCACCGCTTAAAATCTTCTGCCCTGCTGTCTCAGTACCGGAGAAAATGAATCGCCATGAAGCTTCTCGCCAATAGATCGCCAAATGAAGAAGATGCCTCTATTGCACTCAACCCTCAGTGCTCCAATTCCGATCCCGCTCCGATACCAATTGTTATGAACTTGGTTGTCTGACGATTTTTACCGCCACTCACACACAGACAATCTCATACACGCCCATACATGCATAAGAGAAGGGGGGAGAGGAGACAGAGTCCAGACTGTACACAGATCAAAATAGGCAGCGGAATACAGCTATGCACAGGTGGGGAAAAGACACAGTGTTTCTCACTCTCCGACAGTACTCCCAACAACCAATCACAAGAAGAAACCTGCGAGGATAACAATTGGAATCACATTGATGATGAGCCAATTAAAACCCAACAAGGGGACCCGCCGCGGCTCTGCGCGCGGCGAAGAGGGGGGATGTGGGTGAAGAGGTCGGAGGTCCGGAGGCGGCAACACCATTCCGAGCAAGGTGAGCACAAAAAAAAAAAAAAAAAAAAGAGGCGAAAGTAGGTGTGTGTGACCCCCCTCCCCTCCCCTCCGACTTCCTATCCCGACCTCCCCCTCCCATTCTCGCATCCCGACTTGAATCCCGACTTCTCGATTTGTCGTCCCCCCTTCTCACTGATCCCGATTTCAACCAACCAAGTCGACTTCGATGCCGTGTGTGTGTGCGCCCCCATCCTGACTTCGTCGCTCCCCGACCCCCCCCTCCTCCCTTGGACTTCAATCCCGACTTCGCCGCTTGCTATCCCGACCTGACTTCCCCTCTCGATATCCCAACCTCGTCCTCCCATTCCCACATCCCGACTTCAATCCCGACTTCCCGACTTTCCCCCACTCCCTCCTTACCGATCCCGATGTCGACTAACCAAGTCGACTT